CACATAATATAACTCCTAAACTAAATTATCCAAGTTTAATCTTGATCTTCAATAGCTTGACTTGGTAATCTTGCAGATGAAGCTTGAACTTGGATCTTCAACTTGAATTGCAATGCTTCACTCCATAATTTCGCCAACATCCATTGGATATGATCGTGAATGCGTAATTTTATCCATCCTCCAATATATTGTTTGTCTACAATAAATAAAAAACACAAATACTAGACAAACAATATTAGATGTAAATTGTTTATTAAATCATCATCAAAACAAGAATGCCAACAATAGATGAATAAATTAACATGTACATCTGACAAGTTAACATGTACGAGGGCCCCGACGGTGAGATTTGTGCTTACGGTGCAAGGCCATTGAGGAGTTACATGTCATGTTTTATTGTTCAGTTGATTATACTATGTGTTCTTGTGGTTTGGTTGTACTTAGATCAAAATTTAATGAAATTATTGTATCTATTTAGTGATTAATTTTGGTGTAATTTATTATAATTATATGTGAAATGTATTGTGGTTGTCATATGAATATGTACAAGTTACGATAATACGTACATAATCTTGAGGTTATTGTATACATAATATATACAGATTATGTACATAATCTTCAAGTTACGATACATTGTTAAATCTCATACACTTGTACATAATTTTGAGGTTGTTAAGAATTTTGTAGCACATTGTTGAAGATTTTTGTAATCTCTAAGATTGTAAGTCTAATCATATCGTGTATTCAAGTAATATCAGCTATAATAATGTAAGAATTTTTATTATGGTGAACGTTAACATGTTACGAGGAGAGTTAACCTTCATCATAATATGTTAACCTTCACCATTGCATGTTAACTTTCTTCATAACATATTAACTTTCTTCATAACATATTAACTTTCAACTGAACATGTTAACGTTCATCATAACATGTTAACTTTTAACTGAACATGTTAACTTTCAACTAAAATGTTAATTTTAATTTTAACTTTGGATTAAATTTTAATTTTAATTACATTTCGTACGATGGAGCGTATTTCAGAAAAAATATTGGATATGAAGAAACTTTAATTTTAACTTTGAACTAAAATTTAATATACTATTATAAAAGTTAACATATTATTATGAAGAAACTTTCAAACACGTCAAAATTTAGTTCAAAAAACTTGTTAAGAATAAAGTTAACATATTATTATGAAAGTTAACATGTAATAGTGAAAATTAACATATTATGATGAAAGTTAACATGTTCAGCTGAAAGTTAACATGTTATGAGGACAATTAACATATAATGATGAAAGTTAACATAATTTTTGAAGAAAGTTAACATATTATTATGAAAGTTAACATGTAACAATGAAAGTTAATACGGTTGTATGTGAAATGTATTGTGGTTGTCATGTGAATATGAACAAGTTCATTCGAATAGAACTTGATGTGCATAATAAACTGAAGATTGTATATAAATTATGTGTATCAAAACCTGAATATTATGGTACATGTAAGATAATATGTATATAATCTTGAGGCTATTGTGTATATACTATATACAAATTATATACATAATCTTCAAGTTACGATACACTATTAAATCTCATAAAATGTTAACTCTCCTCATAATATGTGATTTGCTATTGTGGTCCCAAACATGCTTAAAATCACAATGCTGGAGGATCAACAATTTGGTGTATACTCAATCATGTGTGAGAAATTGATTCATGTCATAAGAAATATGAAACTTGTTAACTTTTAGGTGTATATGTTAACAATATGAAATGAGCATGTTAACTCACTATATGTTGGCTGAAAATGTTGGCTTTAACCTGAACATGTTAACTTTCACGTGAGCATGTTAACTCTCATCTGTATATGTTAACTTTCAGGTGTATATGTTAACGTTCACGTGAACATGTTAACTATCAGCTGTATATGTTAACTTTTATCTGCATATGTTAACTTTCTTATGAACATGTTAACTTTCAGCATAATATGTTAACTTTCACTATTACATGTCAGCATTCTTTATAGCATGATAACATGCAACTGAATATGTTAACTTATCAAATGTACATGTTAAATATTGGCTTTTCCTGTTATAGAATGCTGTTAAAACTCAAATAAAGATTACAACAAAACATTTTGTCAAATTTGCTAGCTTCTCAAACTAATCATCAACTGTGCTCAGGTCCCACCTTACTTCACACACATAAAGTGAGACACAAAGATCACAAATAGCATGAATCAAGCCAACAATAATAAAGACACACAAAACAGTGAAAGCTACAAATATACCTTAATTAAACACAAGATACACTCAATACTTACAAAGCTACAACATAGAAGATTTACACTTGAAACTGACATAATAGTACACTTAACCCCTCAACGGCCTCGCCAAGCAAAAATAATCAGCAGTAGCCATGAGTTCTTACACTCTAAAAAAAACTAAACTAAAAATCCCTAAACAAGGCCATGCAAATGCCAAAAACTCTATTTGCAACCGCCGCTAAAGACCTCCAAATCTAACAACAACAAGTACAACACAAACCAGACACCACTAAGCTGAAAACAATATAGAATCCCTATCAATCTCATAAGTTGGGTATTTCCTCAACACAAAGTCCTCGGCATCGTCCCACGACACCTTGTTGAAATCCAAGCTCTCGATCTCTGAAATCGAAAAACTCGTTGCCCTCATCACCACAGAAGAAGAAGAACATGACTCCTCAGTCTCAACGGTCGGCGATGAAACAACCGGTTCAGGCTTCGATTCGATGCTAACTTTCTTCTTCCCAGAGCTCTCCAGGGTCTGGCAAATTGCTTGGAGCTTGGCATCAACAGACGAGTGCGGAGGGTTACCAGCCAGATGAGTATGCTCCAGATTAGGAAAATTGAGCCTTGCGTAGTCCCCTCTCAATGTGGATCCATGGGATCGGCGTTCCTATTCTGTTCTCTTGATTCAGCCATAGACCGTCATTCTTCATGATCGTCGCCACGTTAAGATCGGCGCAGGACCTTCTTCCTGCGGGGAGAGGAGATGACTCCTCTTCTTGGAGCAAGCAGGTTCTGATCGACTCGTAGAGGATTCGGGTCCAACGAACGACGTCGCGTATGAGAAGCACGTTGCCGAGGTCAACGAAGGCGACTCGTCGGAGGTCAGAGGAGCGGGGTGTGGGCTTCTTGCGCTTGTTGGCATTAGAGAGGGCAGAGGTTAGGGCGAGGGCGGAGGAGGAGCTCAGGCTAGGGTGGTCGCAGGAGAAGCAGGTGATGAAGCGACA